AAGAGTCAGGTAGGAATTTCCAACAGCATTTCAATAGCATGATCAATCTTCTATTGAAGACAAAAAAGAGAAAATGACCAACAGTTTTCAAGGTGAAGCTGGCAAAAGCCCCGTGAGGACATACACTGTAGCTAAGCAAGCATCTTGCCAGTCCCAGCAGCAGTGGGACTCAGAACCCAAAAACTGAATCTCTGGCATCTTTCCATACATTTACATTAAAACCCCAATAAAATCCATAATGAAAGAAAAAATGAATTTTTTTGTCTTCTCTGGAAGACGAACACTACTCATCAGAGGAGTATGGACTTTTGTGTTGCCTTTGTATGTAAGAGGCACACACTGATATGAGTGGAACATAACTTTAAATTAAAAAAAACATTTAATGCATACTTTAAGCATAATTTCAAAAATTAATGTGAGGAGCAACGAAAAGAATTCGAGAGGTAGGTCATCTGCACTGAGGAGTTTAGAAGCATAAAACAGATCTTCCTAAGAAATGGCAGATCATTGTCCCTTCCTTTTGTCGGTATTTTGCTTTAGAATGTAAATTGCTTTTTTTTTTTTTTTTTTTTTTTTTTTTTTTGGTTCCAGGCTTTGATGGGGAAACCATATGGCTCTTTACCTAGAAAAACTGTCCCAAGAGCTGAGGAAGCAAGTGCTATGAACTTTGCTACTCTCTGGGATTTTAGTGTAAGTGCATAAACTTGCAACACTGCATGTTCCCATGAATTATTATTATGGGCTTTTGTTTCATTATTTAATAGTCAGAGATTTCACATGAAACATTTCAGGAGAAAATGGAAATAGAATTCTTTTACTTTTTTTTTTTTACAACTTCTGAATATGGGTGCTTACTTCAGACAAAACATATAATGAAGTTCAAGGTCCACATGCACATTTCAGTAGATGTAGGAATCCAAAGACACATGGGAAAAAGTCTCAAAGCTTGATTCACATCCCTGAATCAGACTTTCCATTTGTTACAGGTTAATTTAGTCCTGTGTTTTTATATGATTAAGGCTACAAATTTGAGGATGCAGTGTGAATTAGAAAAAAAGAAAATATATTCCAATAATAGGCACTATATGCTTTTTCTAAAAGAGAGAATGTTATTTTTTGTTTTTCTCAGTCTTACAGAACATGTAGATATTTAACTGAATTCAGATGTATGTCTTAATTCTTTACTGTTGATGTGATGTCCAGTTTAGCCTGTTCTCTGGGTACCCAGCCCCCTGTGAAGATAGACAGGGATGGGGAGAAGAATGAAGCCCCCACAGTCCAAGGGTGAATGGTTAGTGACCTGCTGCACCACTTAGACACCCACACACCAAGATGATGACCATCTGCAAGAAGGCCCATAAGAAGGATCCGGGAAACAACAGTCCTGTCAGCCTGACCTCGGTGACAGGGACTGTTATGGAGCAGATAATTCTGAGTGTTATCACATGACATGTACAGGACAAACAGTCAATCAGGACCAGTCAGCATGGCTTTAAGAAAGGCAAGACCTACTTGACTAACCTGATCTTCCATGACAAGGTGACCCGCTTGCCATAGGTCCTTGACAAGGTGGATAAGGGAAAGTCTGTGGATGTTGTCTACCTAGGCTTCAGTAAAGCCTTTGACACCATTTCCCACAGCATTCTCCTGGAGAAACTGGCTGGTCATGGCTTGGATAGGTATACTCTTCACTGGGCAAAAACCTGGCTGGATGGCTGAGACCAAGGGTTGTGGTACATGGAGTCCAACTCAGCTGGCAGCCGGTCACAAATGGTGTTCCCCAGGGCTCAGTTTTGGGGCCAGTTCTGTTCAATCTTTATCAATGACCTGGGGGATTGAGTTGAGTGCACCCTCAGTAAATTTGCAGATGACACCAAGTTGGGTGGAAGTGTTGATCTGCTTGAGGGAAGGAAGGCTCTACAGAGAGATCTGGACAGGCTGGATTGATGGGCAGATGCCAATCAGTTCAACAAGTCCTGTGTTAGGGCCACAACAACCCCCTGCAATGTTACAGGCTTGGGAACGAGTGGCTGGAAAGCTGCCTGGAGGAAAAGGACCTGGGGGTGTTGTTTGACAGCCAGCTGAATATGAGCCAGCAGTGTGCCGAGGTGGACAAGAAGGCCAACGGCATCTTGGCCTGCATCAGTAAGGGTGTGGCCACAAGGACTAGGGAAGTGATTGTCCCCTTCTACTTGGCACTGGTAGGGCTGAACCTCGAATTTTGTGTCCAGTTTTGGGCTCCTCTCTACAAAAATGACATTGAGGGCCTGGAGTGTGTCCAGAGAAGGGCAATGGAGCTGGAGAAGGGTCTAGGGTCTAGAGAAGAAGTCCTTTGAGGACCAGCTGTAAGAACTTGTTTAGCCTGGAGAAGAGCAGGTTCACAGGAGAACTTACCACTCTCTATAACTACCTGAAAGGAGGTTGTAGAGATGTGGGTGTTGGTCTCTTATCACAAGTGACAATGACAGGGCAAGAGGAAAGAGCGTCAAGTTGTGCCAGGTGAGGTTTGGATTGGATATTAAGAAAAAATACTAAAAGGGTTGTTAGGCCTTGGAACGGACTGCCCAGAGAGGTGGTTGAGTGACCATTCCTGGAAGTATTTAAGAGACATGGGGATGAAAAGCTTAGGTACATGGTTTAGTGGTGGTATTAGCAGTGTTAAGTTGGTGGTTGGACTTGATCTTAAAGGTTTTTTCCAACCTAAAACGATTCTATGATTCTATAACTCTGTATGTAACAACACTTTTAAAGGTTTATACATACACATACATATCTTTTAGCACCTGAGTTGTTTTAGCAACAGCAAGCATGAATATGATGTTGGGAGCAGATCCATTTCTTGGAAAAATAAACTCAGGTGCAGGTTCCTCCTGTTTACAGCTTAGCCTCTCCAGCTGTTTTTAGAATGACTCATCTAAAAGTGGCCTCTCCATGTACATTTAGCCCATGTGAGATCCCATTCCATCTATGCTAGTGGGGAGAACTGTGCAGGCTGTGGTGTTCTACACAGACAATCCCGGGGTGGAGTGTGGGGGGGCACAGGTGGATTTTCATAAACCCTTTCCAAAATGAGGTCAGTTCTGATCTCTCCTGAGAAGACATAAAAGGGGTATGGTGTCTATCCTTCTCATCAATATGGCCATTTTTCAGTCTGGTTGAGATGTGGAGAGATCCCTAATCTTGTGACACACAGATCTCAAATAGGATCCCTTGGTTTGTGGCTCAATACCTTCATGTGGAGACTCAGATGATGCCAGACTGCAGTCTTTTATTTAGCTTCCTTGGCTCTATTTTCAATCTTCAGCTGTCAGTAGAGAAAGAATCAGGTGTTAAGGTGACAGAACAACAGAAAAAACTTGACTGGATATACCTATTTTCTCCTTTTCAAGCAAATTTTTCAGGCTTATTAACTGTAGACAACTGACTTAAAGAAAATAATATAATGGTAAGTAGAAATTGTAATGTTTGCCTGTATTTTGACTGTAAAGATATGTAAAGTAAAAAAATTACTTCTGCTTTATTTTGTCACATAAAGAAATGGACCCTCCTTGGATACAAAGGGATAGTAAGATCTTTCTAAAAAGCCATGTATGTAATATTTTGCAATAAGTGCTACATAAAATTACATTGTGTCTGATTAATCAGGAATTGTATGTTGGAGTGACAGGAAGACTACATCTAGACATGTAGCTGATAAATAATGACGACAACGTTATAAAATGAGAAATTAACACATCAGGGAAATATTGGAGAAAAAGGAATCATAGTAACTTGGAGATTTTGTAAAGAGAATAGAGAGTAGAAGAGCTTTATACAGCAAATGGTAACAAAGTTTTTAAAAGAAATGTATCTGAGGAAAGATGAATGAAGACAGATGGTGGAAAGAGAGGGGAAGTTTATAGTATCTGGCTGGAACAGGATCTGACAGCTCTAAAGAAGAAAGTACAGTAAACAGCAGAGTAGCAGTTAATACAATGATCAAATGCAAATTTAGGGCAGTGAAAAAGATGAATACCCTGAAATATTGGGTGGTAAAAAGAATTTTCTTGAGCAATGTCAAACTGACAAAAACTCCCTGAAGACAATGACATCTTTAATTAAACACCACAGAAAATAGTACCTTTCACGTGCTAGAAGTTCTTGTGTTCTAAACTAAGTTACAAATAAGTGAACCCACATTAGCAAGCATTATTTCATCAAAACAGACAAACAAACCCCAAAAATCAAAACTAAAACTCACCAATCTTTAAGACACTAGTTGAGCTCAGCATATCTTCTGACTTTTTGCACTTGAAATTGTACTCATTTTACTGACAAGGCAAAGAGAGACAATATTTGATTTGGATATATTTTACTTGGAATTTAGTTTTTGTATAGTTTGTATAGTTTACAGTTCATATAATAATCCAAACCTTAAAAACAGAAATTCTCAAGGCTCATTTCAATAAAGCATTTAGCTATCATTCCTATCGTGCCTAACTTTTATGTTAGGCTCAGAAAAGAGTGAAAGAGATCTTCCATGCCTGTATCCCTGTACACAGCTAAAGATATTTCAGCTCTCATGGTAAAATGCAGCAGGGTAAGCACAGGAAACAACATAGTGAATGACACACAGTGGTGGAATTATCTCTGACTTTGTGGAACGCAGTGAGTTAAGAAGCATTTTAATACTCTGAGGGATCCAAAAGGCTATCTAGATATGAGCTAGGCTGTATTGAAACCTGTGCTAAAATGGAATTATAAGATGCTTTAATGAAAGGAAAAAAAAAAAAAAGCAAAAGGTATACTAATGAATTTGAATGTATCCTGGCTGGTGTAGATGTTTTACTAGTAGTTAGTAATAAATGTGTGCTGTAACAATATTTCCTTTATCAGAGAAGAACATATTATCTTTTATGTGTAGGCACATCTGTCAAAGTTAATCTTATATGAAGAAAGAAGAGATAGGTTAATTACCGACTCAAGACATTTTGGATAATATTTCTGTTTATCATATATTAATATTTTATTTTCAGCTTAGAATTGTGAATTAGGTTTTCCAGATAACATTGTGACTCATTTCATTTATAGTAAAAGCCACAAAAAAAGTAAATGCATGTTTTAAAATAATACGTAAGAGAAAGATGTTATTTATTTTAAGTAAAATGAGCAACTGAAATGCAGAAGGGAAGTAAATGGCTTTTTTAATTCACAAAGCCCTCAGCTCACTGTATTAGTGTCAAAATAATGTATGGTCTATCCACCAATTACATGGTCAAATACTCTGTATTTGGCTTGAAATCATTACATCCAGCTGGAGATTTGCCACTGCTATGCATGTGCTGAGCTGTCCTTGGAAAAGCTCTGGATACATTCTTCTTCTAGAAGGCAAGTTCTTGCTCTAACATGAGAATTATCTGGAAGGTTTATATATTTGGATCACTGTAGGTACCAGCAGTATCAGTTAACCATGTACTAGTAAATTATTTTGAAAAATCAGCAATCTGACCTGTAGAAAAGAGGGTAATTCTCACTGATTTTTAGAAAAGGAGATTGAATTGCTGAGAAAGAAGGTACACTTACATTGCACTTTTTACAGCCTTAGAGTCCACATGTTAAAAACCCTGCATACTGAATAATCATCTATAAAGTGCAGCTAACTATTGATTAACATATATTGAATGATCTCCCAATGAACAGCAGACAACATTGTTAGACAGAGAAGACATATGAGAATTTTGTATCAAATAAGCTATGTGAGTAAGTTTTAGGAATGTGAAAACGAAGTTAAAAAATCTGGCATTTTATCTCCAAGTGATTTGTAAAACAAATTTTGTAAACCAGAATGTTTTTGTCTTTATGAGAAGCGTGTGGCTGAAAAAGTTTTGACTCATTAAATTGTCGATGGAGTGCCTATGAAGAATTTTAAAGAGAAAAGATTTGAAAGTTGATATGAAATAATGCAAGTATTTCTAAATAAAAGGAGAGATTTTCTATCCTGTGAGATTTATTATAGAGAGCTTACAATTGTTTTGAATGCATTGAAATGGATATTTTAGTACATTGCTGTTGGTACAATTTCTGATTATATGCGTACTTAACAGACATGACATAATTTTTGCTGACTTTTCAGGGCTTTGCACAGTATTCTGTACTCTTTTATGGCTATTACAATAACCAGAGGACAATTGGATGGCTCAAGTTCAGGATGCCGCTTTCCTATTTCCTTGTTGGAGTTGGGACTATTGGCTACAGCTTTATGATTGTCATTCGAACGTAAGTTCTCCTTGATTGGAATAAATTACATCTAAAAAGGCAGATAATTCCATTGTTGACCACTGAGACTATCTTTTTAAAAACATGATAACTATAAGGGCAGGACAATGGAAGATCAAGTGCAAGGTCAGTCATGTAAGATTCCTTCAGCCTGTATTTATTCACCTATTGTTCTGCACCAGCAGCTGTGTTGCAGTGTTGTGGAAGTGGGAACAAGTCTTTACTGAAATAACACAGCACTTCCCTCCTGCAACTTTAAAGTGAAAAATGAATGCATAAAGTAAGGAACAGAGTTGTCAGCCCATCTTTTCATAATGCTCTGCATCGAGCAGTACATCAGCTAACATCCAGGAAATTAAATTTTTCTCCCTTTAATGATATCTTATTTAAGTTAAATTCTTTAAATAATGAAGAAGACAATTAAGAAATACATATGGCAAATAATTCTTTGTGTAACTCAGAGTAAGCAGTAAATGATTCTCGGCAAGACTATAGTGATTAGGTCACATTTGCACAGTGGTGTAAAATTAATGCTACTAGCCATAGGAAGCATTTAATGTCCTGGGAATGCAAAATAATTTCTAGCAGTGTGAAAACTTTGCTGAATACAATGTTAAGAACGTAATATTAAAACAGTAGGAAGCACAGGGTAAGAGAAACAAGTAGTACAAGTGGTGATCATAGAATCATAGGATGGTTTAGCTTAGAAGGGGCCTTAAAGTTCATAACAGAAACATAATCATATATTAGCCTTTTGACTCTTGAATTCTGGACCTGAATTTTGTCTAAAGATCATAATTTAAATGAAGTAAAATTATTATTTTATTGTGAAATTCACTATTGGAATAAACTCTGGTAATTCTGATACTTACTAAGGAGATAGACTGCTAATGAATATAATCTTTAATAGTCTAAACTCCAGCAAGATAACTACCTACAACAATAATACAGTTAGCTATAGTGGTGGCTTTAAAAGATGCCTAGGGTGAAAAAAAACAGAGCATTGCAGGTCAAGATTCAAGGACACTAGTGAATATATAGAAAACTGCAGTTAATCTATTTCCACCATTTTGTGCTGAAGCCAGTAATTTTCACTTGCATGGGCACTAGAATAATTCATGTTCTGTTTTTCAATTATTTTATAGGATAAGAGGCATTTCAGGAGAAAAAAGAATTCTTCAATTACATATACATATTTTAGGAGGAGGAAAAATGCTACCAAAAAATCGTAATTGCTTTAGTTTGAAAATATATTTGAAAATATTTTTTGTAATGTAGCTGTGAAGATCAGAAAAGTTTTAGTCTCAGACAATGGTATTTCAATGACTGTCACCCAGACCAAAAAAACAAAAAAAGCTTCCTTCTGGCTGAAAATCCTTGTGACCCAAGTAAGGAATATCCTTGTGGAAAAAATACATTGTGTGTGGTAACTTCCCATCTGGTCACATGACGCTAAAGCTGATCAATATTTAAGTAATCTTATGAGAAATTTTTTCAGTCTTCTGCTCTTTGCTGTTTTGCCAGACACAATGGGCACAGGAACTAACAGGACGTGCTACCATTTTCCTGCTGTTGCCTGAGATCTGGGAAAGGGCTTGTCTATGTGTAAGAGGTAGTGAGGATTATAAGCACAATTGTTCTATTTAGGGAAAATATGAAGATTTAGAGCTGCCTGCCAAAGCTTTTCCAGTGTATAACATAAAATGGAAATATTTCTGGTCTCAAAGAAATGATACCACAACCACAAAACTGTTCACTATTTAATTAAGAACTCTTGAGAAGGAATTATCTTAGTCTAGAAACCAGTAGCAGGGCAGATCCTACCAAGAATCTTTCGTGATTTCTGTCCATTCCGTATATGAAGAGTAAAACAAAATCCCACAACCCTGGCATTGGTTTATGACAGCACAGAAGGGTTTTTTGTATTATTTTGTCACTGTTCTTATCTGACAGTATGTAAATTACTGGACTGTTAAAAATGTGGTATGTACAACATGGTGTTATTAAATGGTTTGTACTCTCCTAATATACTTCATCCTTATACTTAATGGTTCGAATTAAGTGATAAAGTATGCAGAAGCAAGACCACTATTATTACATGAATGACAAGACTCTGAAGTAGAGTTGTTAGTAGTCAAGATTAAGTCAAATCACTGAAGAAATAATGTTTGTGGATATTGTCATAAATCTTGTTTAAAAGTGCATAGGAGATGAACGGGAAGATAGAAAGATGTGTTAGGGATACTATTGTATGGTGAAACCAGGTTTTGTTCTGGAGTGTTGTTTCAGAATTCGTTTTTCTCTTCATGAGGTCTGTAATCAAACCTATTGCAGTTCAGGATGCTCTGCATCTTTCTATTCGAGAGATCTTCTTGATACTGTTTTACTATTGAGTTCCTTATCCAGCAGAATTTTTCTGAGGTGTTAATGAAATTAATTAATTCTTTCACATCAAAATGAATCTTGTGAGCTCATAAATTGTCTAAATATGAAAATCTCTATCCTTCTCTCTTGTTTCAGACTGAGTTTTCCAGATTTAGTATAATACCATTAACTGGAATAATATAGTTTTTTTCAGAACATTAGAATTTAGGATCAATTTAAAAATCATGCTCACATACCAGAACTATTTCTAACAAGGCCTTTCTATGTCTTTCTGGCTCTTGCAGAATGGCAAGGAATGCAAATGAAGAAGGTGGTGGAGACGACACTAGTTTTAATTTCAGCTGGAAAATGTTCACAAGCTGGGACTACCTGATTGGCAATCCTGAGACAGCAGACAATAAGTTTGCCTCCATCACAACAAGTTTTAAGGTAAATTAGAGCTCACTGAGGAGGGGTAACCTGATTTGTCTTATGCACTGGTGCTAATCAGATGTAACAAGGTCAAGAATTAGCCGTGTCTAGGACATAGAAGCTTAAGCTAGAAGCGGACTGCCCTATACCCTTCTGAGCCTGGGCTTTTGTGCCTTGCCATCTTAATTTCTTCTTTTTGACTGTGGGGAAAAAAAAAATGTTAATGGCATCTCTTTTCTGCCCTGTGGCTGTAGTGCTAGCTTTAGGAAAATTATTCTACTGTAAAAATAATATTTTCCTTTTTCTCATCTCTGATGGCTTCCAGTTTCCATGGTGTTTGTCTGAAATTATTTTTTTTTAAATGCTGGTGACATTTTGCCAACCTCACATAATCATCTTCTCTTGCTGCACTGAAGACATACCATAAGATAAGGAAATAGTATTGTCTGTAAAGGACTATTGATCATAGCCGAAGAATTGGCCTCAGAATTTTGAGCGTATACTTGCTTTTCACTAAGGAAAAAGGTTTACTTACATAATTCAAAGTTTTTATTTCAAATTAATTATGAAATATAGCCAAATTTGCAGGACAATACAAGGTGTTCTTGGGCCTCTTCTTTAGTTTATAAGGTATGTTGATTTCAAGAGTCATTGTGTGAGGAATCTGGGGCAGGATGTGAAATACACCACTGTGAAAACAGTGAAGGGGATGTATTCTATTGGTTGAATGTTATAGAATGTGTTTCTACATTGGGGTCCCTGAGACACACCAGTGCAGCATGTAAAGGAAAATTTAATTTTCAGTGTAATAATGTACAGGGAATACACTGGCAAGGTGTTTGCAGCTAATGAACAAGATGCTAGACTTGAAGTCACACTGACAAAATGCAGCATGGGAGCTGGAAGACCAAGCATTAGCTGCAGTAACCCTAACCAAACACACACAGCACCTTTCCTTTCTGAAGTGGTGATATAGCCAATATACACCTCACTGTGTCCACCCTCCCATCTGCAGGCATGAAAGATAATTGCACTCAACTTCATTAGAAGAAAAGGTCCCAATATAACAAATACTGTAGAAATACTGACTGAAAGTACTGAAACTGTTCATGCTTTCCCTGCCAGCCTACTAAAGTCAGTTACTAAAAGCTATCTGGAGTACAAATCAGTTGAGACACCAACTTATTTTTGAGAAATAAACTCATTAAACTTTGCTGTGCTCATTGCAAATAAGCAAGGCACCTCAGACAGAAAGGGTGAAGTCTTGGCTTGGGTGGGGCTATGGGAGGTTTGCTCAAGAGCTGCTGCAATCTCCTTTCATTATTTAAACAAATGTAAGTTGTAAGTAAAGCAGAGCCATGCAGAGTAATTATTACAATGCAGGAGTTAGCTTCCCCTCTGGGCAGCTCATCTCTATACCAAAGTGAGAAGTTATAACCAAACTCCCTTTTTACAAGGACACTTCAGAGCAAAAGCTTATTCTGCTGACAGAAAAAGTATTTGGAGATTATAGTTACACCTGAGTCTTGATATATATCAGTCCTGGTCAAGGGTAAGTGTGGCACAAACATTTTGTTCCGCAGTTTGAACCTGTGCACGGTTTGCCTTTTTTTTGGATTTCTACATCTCTTTTGTGTTTTCGTTCCTTCTGAACTGATGACTTTCAGAATAAACTTTTTTGTTATTTTCTCACAATTTCATATTTTTAAAGTGTGACAGTTCCTTTTCTGGCAGCTAATCACATATTTATCCTGCTGGGCCACTCAGTCTTATAGCACCTCACAAGCTGACAGAACACGCTGATTTCCTACAGGTACATGAGTGCAGGCGTAACCAGCCTCAGTGAGGACCTGCTCATTGGAAGAAAAGCATATGCTGGGGAGCCAAAACCATGGGGTCTGGCCAGATCCAAAACAAGTTTTGTGAGACAATATAAACACGTCTCAAAACATGATACCTAGTTGTCCATTTGCATCTTCATAATTGATTTAACTGACTTCTAACAACTGGGGAGGAAATGTGGGGTCATTACCATTAAAGTACTCACAATATTTTCTTTCTAACAAGTGCAGGAAGCTATTGTGGAGGAACAGGAGAGCCGAAAAGAGGAAAACATTCACTTGACTCGATTCCTGAGAGTTCTTGCTAACTTCTTAGCCCTGTGCACGCTCGCTGGGAGTGGCTACCTCATCTTTTTTGTTGTCAGAAGATCCCAGAAATTTGCCCTGGAAGGTCTGGAGAACTACGGGTGGTGGGAAAGAAATGAAGTTCGTGCTAGCACATTTCTAAAATAGATGTGGTTTGAAACTGTGTTCCTCTACTCTGCATGTTGCCTTTTTTCCTTGAGAATTTAAATACTCGAGTGGGGCTGGTAAATGTCTAACAAAAGAATTGTTCTTGTCTCTGCTTCCTGCTTCATTCAAACATTTATTACTTGTTTGGTTCTTTCAAATATCCCCATGTATTTAGATTTCATTTGAGGCCTTTACCTTTACTCCTTTGTGCTCTTAAGATTGTTTTCCAGCTACTCTATGGACTCACAAGATCTCCTCAAGGAGCCTGCTCCCCTGTTGCTTTCCTTCTGGGACTGGCACAAGCAAAGTGACTGGTGTGTGGGCATATCCAAAGTTACTTGGGGCCTCTGTAATGTAGCAACAGGATGAAACTCATGCCTTCCAATTCCAGCTGCTCAGTCTGAGTCCAATACCATTTTTTTTGTGCTTAATCTGCTTTCTTCTAGAGCAGCTGCAGCCCTGCCCGATAGTGGTGTATAGCGAAAGTGACTGTGTGCTACAACAGTGTGCAGTAAGCACCTGTAGCAAGTGTTGCTATATGAAAACCTGGGCAGGTTTTACTTTCTTGCAAACACACTCTTGTGTGTGTTGTAGAACTTGCTGTTTGTTACTTAGACCTTATTTTCCAAGCTGGAGTGTAAAGTAGATACCTGCTTTAAGGTATGCAAAAAGATGCTTGACTCACAAAGTTGCTGAGGTGGGTGACAATGGAATGAGGAAATTCAATCCCTAATTTTCAACACCAAAACCTGACTGAGAAACTAACATAAAAGCTACAGCAACCCACCTCTGGAATCCAGAGAAATGGGGCTGTTAAGATTGGGTTAAGTTACTCGATACAAGTTACTACATTTTTATCTGATGGGAAAGAAAATTCTTGTACAAATTGCCTGGCTTAAATTTAGATGAGCTCTAAGTATGACAACAGCCTAGCAGCTGAGGAGAGTTCAGGATGAATTCAGCTTTCTCTCAGTTGAAAGGTGTGGTAACAGATTTGTACTGACAAGAACTGTGTTACCGAAAGCTGTTTGTTATATTAGTCTATGCTGCAATCTGGGAAAGTAGCTAAACATATGCATGTTTATCTCCATTGTTTTACTTTTGTTTGCTTTACCAAAAAAAAAAAAAAGGTACTGCTGAGGAGGCTGTATCACAGAACAAAGATCTAGAGCAAGTGTGTCTCTAAAGAGAGTAGATAAGGCAACATTGCCATTATTTGGCTAAAGAATTTTTCCTATTGACAAGTAATGAACACATTTATGAGGTATAAAATATTGCCTTTCATTGATTATTAATATTTATTAATACTCCTACCTGTAGTACCTAGTTTTATCAGATCGCAATTCAGAGAAAATTATCTGGTGTGTCATGGAGATCAGGGAAGTTAGTGGAAACAGGCAGACTGGGACTGTTAAGGGCTTTCGTCAGCTTCGCATTGCTCCTCATACATAGCTGTGGCCTGGTGGTTGGTCATGGAACCACCATGATGATTCTGCACCATCTGACAATTTCCCCATACTGTGGAAATTTTGGTAAAATGGAGAATAATGCCTTTAATTCTCTTGGTAAAGTATTCTGAAATTGCATGAAAATTGCTGAACAAAATTGGCTTTTCTCATTTGATAGAAGATAATTTGCAGAGACAGAAGGTAGTATAAGCATCTCTCTCGTACAGAGATACTCTTATTTTCTCACATATTTTCCTGTACTGTTTAAAAATAAAGCTACTCCAAAGAAGAAAAAAGCTTATTAGGACACAGACTGATTTCTCTGAATCATAATCATTAACATTTGGGAGGAGATACCCTTTGCACATCAATTTGCTTTCCAGCAATAAAAAGTATAGATTTAACATCTCGGATCTTGCAAGAAGCAACCCCATAGATCTCTTGACAAAAATAACCAGCCATTTACTTTAACATTCCTAATAGTGGATACAGTGTATACTGAAATTATTAAGAGATGTTCCCAATGCTCTGTTTAATTCTAGAAACCATCAGGCAGATTTTATTAGTATGAGTTCTAATTCTAATTTATTTTTAAAAAACAAAGCTGTATTTACTAGAAAAAATAGGTCCTTATTAATGTGTTCTACAGCAGATGCTAGGCAAATCTATGAAAACTGCAATCATTGTTAGTGAAAGATATGATTTATTTTAGCTAGACTACTTGCTCTTAATGAACTTACCATTTAAGCAACAAGCAGTCAGTGTTCAATATTTAATGTTGTCTTGGCACAGTTTAATATGTTGGTGGGCTGGTGTTTACATGTGATTGCAGTCACAGGATTTCTTACCAGATTCATAACAGCTGGGAAGGCTTATGTACACAGTAATTTTCTAGCTTTTGGAGTGTCACTCAAGGATTTGGTATCTGGAGTGGTTAATGTCACAGAAAGATAAAAACCTGCATTTTGAATGGGAGTTTTAATAATTAGTGAGTGCCTCTTGGTTGTTATTCCTTTCTTAGGGAAAAGTCTGTCTCACTAGGGCAGAGAGGGCTTTTGAGATTCACCTAGAAGAGAGTGAATGTAAGACCACATTGGCCATCAACCGTAACTCTACATTATATGCATACTGGCATGCTGCCCCTCTTCTGGCGCATCATTCCATAATTTGTATGTCACACGGAGTAGTGAAAAACTAATAAAAACTGTGGAAGAAAATCTCCTGCAGCACCTGAGCTTCAAGTTGACAAGAAGTCCAGGATAGATATTGTCTCCTTTCTGAAATCAAACTAGATTAAGGTGGCTAAAGGTCAATGGATAACTCAGTGAACTCTTTGTTCACCAAAATCCTTTAAAAGAAACTGAAAAATATAATGATAATATATCTATAAAAACATATGAGGAATATTTATGCTTTTGAAATATAGAACCCATCATAGATTTTGGATTTTGAATAAACAATATGCTACATTTTGTCTCAGCAATACATTGCATTTTTAGTTGTAATAATTTCTCACTTTTCAGCTTTGCAAGTTTCTGTGCCTCATGTCATATCTTTATAGTGTCTTTTCTCCAGAAATAGAATGCTTTTGAGATGGGGATCATGAAAAGTCAAATCATGGGGAAAAAAAATGTAGATAGAAAGCAAATAGGAAAGAATATGCTTGCATCAGACAAGTAGTGAAAAATGCTGAACATAATAAAAATATAGAAAATTAATATTGTATAAAAAATTGAATGTTCAAAAGAAAGCGTGGCTTCTCAGCTGCCTCTCCCATGCACCAACAGGGAAACTCTAAATAAGTTAGCAGGTTCTATATTTAATATTCCCCAAAGGACATACTTTTTCTTCCAAAATACATATTCACTATGTCTTCCAGGGTAAGAACTAAGGGATGTCAAATGCATGAAGAAGAAGCCACGCTCAGAAAAAGCAAAAGGGAAGAAATGGTAGATGGTGGGTGCCGGTGCTATAAAGTCCAAAATTTGAATCTGTCTGAAGGAAGACTAATCTGAGGCATGAAACAGAAGACCTCTGGTAGTTAGTAAATAAATAAAAAACACACCTGAATGAAAAAGTACCCAAAATGAGTATAATTGGATTCTAGGACCTATTATTCATACGTTTGTCCTGTGGTTGCTCTTCCCTGGTCATGTGTTGCGCTAAGCCCACATACTTTCCAGTATCTGAAAGGGGCCTACAAGGGTACTGGGAGAAGACTTTTTACAAGAGCCTGTAGTGATAGGACAAGGGGGAACGGGTACAAATTGAAATCAGGGAGGTTTAGATTACATATCAGGAAGAAATTATTCACAGAGAGGGTGGTGAGGCACTGGAACAGGTTGCCCAGAGATACTGTGGATGCCCCATCCCTGGAAGTGTTCAAGGCCAGGCTGGATGAAGCTTTGAGCAACCTGGTCTAGTGGAAGGTGTCCCTGCCCATGGCAGGGGGGTTGGAACTAGATGGTCTTTAAGGTCCCTTCCAACCCAAACCATTCTGTGATTCTACGATTTGGTGTGACCCATCCCCTCTTATGCCCACACTTGCCCTGGAAGTTGTAGCCACAAGAGGATACTGAGACAACAGAGTCAGGAGGGATTCTGGTTTGAGATTCAACAAAATCACAGCAGGACTGAAAAATTCTATTAAAAACCAAGACATAAAAAAAGTTTGAATTTAAAAAATTATGGTTAGTGGTGTTGGATGGAGTTAACTCCTGCAGCTTTGCCAGTTTAAGCCATATTGGGCACAAAGTCTTTGGCTGAATGGTGACTGAGACAATATTTGTTATAAACTGTGTTAGATACTATGAAGACTTAAGGATAAAAAAGTTTACAAAGTTCATTATGAAGAAAAAATAACCAATATTTTGATCACCATCATCCCATCACCTTTTAGAAGTATAAAAGAATAGGAACATCCACAATTCTCATAAGTGAAAATTTATTCAAAACATTAATGTATGAAACCCAACACAGGTAAAAGGTGGCAGGAGATTCCGAATGCACTACTGTTTGCCTACAGATGCAAAAATTAAGTAATTAGCACTAGCACTCAATAAAAATAAGAATAGATCAACAGCAGAAAACAAGACGTATTTATTTTTGTTAAGAACATCAGTCTCATGTATGAAACTCTTTAGGAGTGAGAATATATATATATTTAAGTGAGTGAATGTATTAGTTGGCAGCATTCCTTTCTGCTGCCATATGATTTCTGAGAAACAAGACCAGTCCTAAGTCCCTTGGAAGCAGGAAGTTAGAAATGTATTAACACTTATAATAGTTCTGACAAAATGAATTCCAGCATGGCTGAGAAATGCTAGTTTTAGAGAAATTGGAACACTAGAGTTCTTTGAACAATTAAGTTTCTTTGTGACTAAATAAATTATTTTTATTTAATTCTTTAAGAGGACTCATCTCAAATGAATTCTTTGTGTTTTCCAACAACCCTTGTGACTTAGACTGAGATGTTTTCTGTTTCTTGTTTGTTGTTTTTAGTCCATTAAAGACACATTTTTTGTCATGAAATTTTATTTTAAATTGAAATTGAATGACTGCACTCTTAAACTTTTAGAATTATTTTAATTTTTGGCTGACACAATGAATTAGAACCAAAAGTTTCAAGCAGACTTAAATAATTTTCAGCAACCAGTTAGGAATATTATGGTAATAGAATGCCTCACTTGTCTGTAGAATTTATAAGCTGTGCTGTATTTCAAACTTTCTATAAAAGCTAGTTATCTGTTTTTCTTAGTATGTTTTCAGTAAACTTGTTTCATTTCCATCCTGCTAAAGTGATGAGTTAATCTCATTAGAGATTTCTCAGAAAATCAGAAAGAAGCAGGGTTGATTTGAATTTGCTTATGCAGTGAGGGCATGAGATCTGAGACAGACCAAGGCATGAGATCTGAGATAGACCAGAGAGCTGGGCAATCTCTGTATGAAATTTAACAAAAGCAAGTCCCAGATTCTCCACCAGGGACAGTGTAATCCTGGTTATACACACAGATTGGGAGATGAGAGCCTGGAGAGCAGCCCTGCAGAAAGAGATTCAGTCGTTGACCTGGTGGTATCTGCAGTAGATTAGAACTGATTTTTCAATCCTATCTTGATTTGTGAAAACATCTTGTGATTCCCAGGGTGGATTTATTTTTATTAAATCAAAAACCAGATTAAAAAGTACTAATGGAAATGCGCCCTACAAATCAATAGTAATAAAAGAACTTGCTGCTAACATCTCACTGTAAACTTTCTTTTTTTTTTTTTTTTTTTTTCCCTTTCTCAGGTGAACATGGTTATGTCACTTTTAGGAATGTTCTGTCCAACTTTATTTGATGTAATTAGTTCTCTGGAAAATTACCACCCTCGAATAGCTTTAAGATGGCAGCTGGGACGAATCTTTGCTCTTTTTCTTGGCAATCTCTACACTTTCATTATCGCCCTAATGGATGAAATCAATCTCAAGGCAAGCTATTTACTTCCCTTCATTATTTTTAACATGTAACTGGGCAAGGATGAGGATTTCCAGCCGGTCACAGACATGTCAGTGAAAGAGGTTCTTTTCTTTCTTGTACTGTGTATCACATCCATGCCTGCGCTGGTAATGGGAGTCTGGGAATAGAAAAGGTTGAGAATTGGTAACAAGCTCATGGTGGGTTTTTTTCCCCAATTTATTTCTTTACTTAGTTGGAAGAAGAAAAGATAGTCAAGTATAACATGACAATATGGGAAGCCAGTCTTTACAATGGCACTATTCCAGAAAATTCGACTGCTCCTCCAATACAGGTGGACCCTGCAGATGTCCCCAGAGGGCCATGCTGGGAAACAATGGTAGGACAGGTAATGGAACTGCTTTGAGCTCATATTTGAAAATAGATCATAGTCTACTAAAAATATGATATTTAAACACACTTTATTTCTACTAAGAAGTGACATTAACATGAGAAAATGTGAGGAAAAGCAGCTATCGGACTTTTTCCTTAGCTAAAATGTTGAGAAAAAATTATTCTTTCTTCTGGTAGGTGACAGCACTGAAAGCATTCCTTTTTTTCCATAATTTTTACTATACTTTTCTATTATTGTCCTCTGCGTCATCTCATTTTTGTCCTGTAAAAACTGTTGAGCAATTTTGAAAAGTTGTATTAATCACAAACCCTAATAAATGTAATAATTCTGATTAGAATTTTGATCAGGCAAAATCACTTTCTGACTACAAGAGAGCTATAGAAAAGATAAAAATAGGAGCAGTTCAACAAGGAAATACATAGAATCATAGAATCATA